GAAACCGTTCCACCTATGGACACTGGCTCGGGTCTACTCAGACAGACCAGCCACAGAGACTCAGGGCTATCCATAGTAAATGGGTCTCAAAGCCCTGGTCCACCCAACCTGGCAGGTGAGCTATTAGACTGAGGGCCTACAGTGGTGCCGAGGTGGTTGGAACGGTCAACAGGACTATGTTCAATATTTGTCATTATGAACTATCTGGGGGGAAGAGGTGTTATGTATTGAAGTTAATTACTTGGAAACTGTGGGAAACGGTCAAACGGCTGCATCTGTTTAAGTTCCAGACTGACTGTCTACATGTTAATTATCTTGTCTTTAAGCGGGAAATACTGCTTTAATTCTATTGGCTGCCGCCTAGCGGGTGAGCTGTATAAATAGTGGTTAAGCAGCAGTTTGGGCTGCTTCTGTTGTTAATTGAATAAAGAGTTGTTGTTTGCACCATTCGCCTTGTCAATGCCTCACTGAACTAAAAACGTAACCGTATGATTCTTTGTTTATGCACAGCAAGATTGTTCTCTTATCTTTGTACTAACATGTATGCAGAAAAAAACATAAGCAAATCTTATGCTTAGACTATTACATATTTTCTAAACTACAGTAGCCTGCTATTAGTTGCCAGAGTATGGACAAATATGGTGCAGTGTTTAGCTTGTATTTTTGAAAGGATACCCAGATTAATACCTCTCTACTGCCCAATAATGAAACTCACTATGTATGGCTTTTTTCAGTCTAATCTACCTCCAAGATTTGTTGTGAAGATAACAAGCAACCTTTTTGAAATTCACCTAAGTGTGATGTAGACTAGAGCATAGTTGTTTACATATTAAGCTAGACCAGTGTTTCTTAAAAGTGTGGCCCTAGCAGTGATGGGATTCAGCCAGTTCGCACCACTTTGGCAGAACTGGTAGCTAATTTTTTGTTGCCCAGGCCCAGAATGGACTTCCAGAAATGACATCCACACAGAGAACTGGTTGTTTACATATTTGAATCCCATCACTAGGTCCTAGAACTCCTGGGAGTCCCTCAAGACCCTCTTAGGAGGTTCCCCCCAAATCAAATTTATTTCCAGCCTATGTTGAAAGATAATACAATATTAAAATTCCATCAAACAATTATAAAAAGCAGTAGTGATAGTGAATGTGTCATTTTTAATATGATAAATATTAGTAAATATTAGCCCATACAAACAAAAGCTCTTTTGAGATCCTCCATAATTTTAAAAAATTAAATGGGGCCCTGAGAGAAAAAATTATTAACATTTACTTGACCATCCTATTTTGAGTCTCACTGTTCATAGCATTCTTGTCACGGGTCTTTATCACTAGGTCTGCTCATCTAACCAAAACATTAATTTGGCTGTAATAATGGATATTATATACTGTATAGCTCTTGTATTGTAAGAGAGAGAGAGAAGAGGACTAGGGCCGTTGAAGGAAGAATAGAATTCCAATGTAACAATAATTCAACCTGATATTTCTAAAAAATGGTTTGTTCTGATTAACTAAAAGCAACCAACAGCTGTTGTAGAAATTACTGTTGAGAACTATTAAATATCTGAATATAGGCTGACAATCAAGATAAATTAATGGATTCTGTTAACTTCCTAGTGCTTATGGCCAGAGTTTACTGCATCACCTCTTCCTTCTCCAGGTTTTTTTTTTTTGCCATCTCATCCCAGATATAATGATTTCTGTACCAGGTTCAAAATAGTATAGTAGTAAAGAATGCTTGAAATGAAAAGAGTCTGAGGTAGGGTGGGGAACACATTGGGCTGAAACTCTGGGATAGTTCTTGTGTCAGTATAACTAATGCTAACTATGACCGTGTTGAAGACAGCCTCTGATATTTCAGTGAGATGAAGATAAATACCTTAGATAAAGACAATTTACTTTTGAATAAGCATAGTTAAATTCTGCAGGCACAATTCAATTAATAGATTCTTGAAAAGAATTCTGAGGTTTGCTCCACAAATATTTGTATTATATTGTATAGATAATATTCCATCTGAAGTAAGAAACTTCTATTATCTCTTTTCAGAAAACAAATGGGTGTTGAGACCCAAAAGTGTATATTGCCTATTGTTTCTCTCTTTTGCTCATCCTTATTATTCATTTCATCTCTTGATTGCAATTGCCTGCCTGTAATTTTTCCCCAGGCTTTTCTTTTACTTATATCCCTGTATTTAAGCTAGGAATGCCCAACCCAAAGGGTAAGGGCACTAATATGTGAAGAGATGCATACTTTGATTTTCTTAAAATTATATCCCTTGAATTCAAAAGGACATTGTTGTGATTAATTAATGGAGATTTAATTGCATTGTTTCTTTTCTAACTGGGACTTATATGTGACTTATTTTATTGTATTAAATAGGAATATTATCTTTTGGTTTAGAAATTTTCATTAATGTATAATTTTAACTAATTATTTGTTAAATGATGTGAATAAGACAATTCAGAGATTAGAAAAATAATATATATTTTAAATGCATCTGCTGTCCAGAGACATTTTTGTATTAGATCTTGTTTTTATTAATTCACTGAAGCATTGTTTTCATATGTGAACCTTGTATATGTGATACTGCTATTATAGTTTATGGCAAATGAACATGACTCTGTTTGTAGAAGAAATAACTAGCCTTTGAAAAATCTGTCCTTATTGGGTAGAGCGTAGGCCAATATTTATGTTTGAACTTTCATATGAACGAAAACATGCTATCATTTTATGCAAATACTGACCTCTTTCTTACGTTACCACAAAATACCATTCTGATTTCAACACTTAAATAACCTATAATTTCTAAGCTCTGTGGCTTTGCAATGTTCAAACATGTATTTCTCATTGTGTAAGTAAAATGTTAATTAAATGTCTCATATTTGAACAGTGATTTAAAAATCTGTAAAGCAGAAACAAGTGACTTAAGAGGGTGAATTAATGCTTTGAAATAAGTGAGAGGCAGCATTGTACCATGTTTTTAAGTTTCCTATACAGCAATTCCGCTGCACCTACTTTTCTTAAATATGACTAAAAATGGGGAGCATCTGCATTTAATCAGGGAAAGAACTGAAATGAGTGGGCCACTTCTGCTGCTCTGTCCTTCCCCTAATGGCCATTTGTAAAGGCTCACCGAGTGAATTCAAAATTGGGTAAATCAGTATTCTGAAGGAACAATTCCTTTTCTATATGCAGTTCTCCAGGAAAGGGGATAGCTTATCACAATTTCCCACCCTTGCATGAGGCGTTACTGCCACTTTTACTAATATCTGAACAGATCTGCCTGAATATATCTTCTGTCGTTAATGTGCTTGTTCCAACTTATCTGTCACTTAATATTTTAATGAATTTTTGTTACTCATTTAAATATGTGTCTGCATTCTCATGCATCTTTCTGCTTTTAGTCTTCATATAAGCAAGCAAATGGCTGAAAATGGCTTCAATTGTGAATGCTTTACCATTTTTTAATCAACCAAAACAGCAATAGAGACTGCAATCGAGTGGGAGTGGAAGGAGATGTTTGACTTTTCCCTTGGAAGATCTTTCTACTCAATATTGTTCTCCACTCTCCCTAAGCATCAACTTAAACTATATTCCTCTTCCTAGAGCAATATTTACATGGAAATTAAATCAAATTGTTAGGCAAACTCGTATTATATGGAGAAGCATATAAGTGTGGGAAGTTAACCCAGAGAAGGAAATATTAAAAAGGCAGGAAAAATATTGTTCACCAAAAGGATTTTTAAAAGCATTTTTTGAAAAGCAGAAACCAAACCTGGCCTCATCTCCTTGCCCAGGGCAGTAGCTGGTCTTATACATATGCAGATGTGGAACCATCAGAAAGTTTGGAGCCAGGGATCTCAAGACAAAAGANCACAGGAACAGGAAACTTCCAGGCAGGGCTAGAGGGTATAAAAAGACCATCTGCCCATGTGCTCACTCTCTTTTCTTCTCCTCTGCTGCTTATCTGTCTTCTGCAATAAACTGTAACCTTCTTCCCAAAGCAGTTGCCATGTTTGCTTATTTATTCCCGGCTTGGATGAACCAGGATGAAGACTTACCTTCTAACAATTGCATATAACTCCATCATTTTATAATTCCAGCATAAGTGATAGCTAATCGTTTATAACATAACACACACACAAATGCCATCTCATAAGTTAATTGCACCAACTTGATTTCAGGATGAAACCAGAGGCCTGAATTTTACTAAATATCTATTAGTAGTCTAAAATTATTCAAAACTTGCTACCATTTTATAAAATTGTATCTGTATGGACAATCAAAAATCACATTTTCTGTAATTCTATATATCTATATGTGTTAGCATTAGTATTTAATAAGGAAATCTTTAACCAGCCTTTAACCTCCATTTATGTGAGCCTCCTTGAAGGAAGTTGGGAAAAAATTATTCATAAGGACATTATTGTACACCTTCAACAATACAGGGGGCAAAAAAATCAACATATGACCCTTATTACACATTAAGATAGCTTCAAGAGATGGACCTTTTCTTGTTTTCATGGATAAAATATATTATTTCCTAAAGAATGAAATATGGAACTAGAAACGCTGCTTGATCTCATATGTTTGGAAAAGCTATAGCATTTTAAAAATGATTAATTTCAGCCTCAGTAATCTTTGACTATTATAAAAGTGAATATGAAAATCAAAAAGCAGATGTATTAAACAGAACCATTAGATAGCACTCCTGATTGTTGGAAATAAATGTTATTGTATCTTTACTGTTTTAGCTCACAGTTCTTACTCCCGTTATCTATGCTTCACATGATTCATTGAGTGTTCTGTATCCAAGGCATAGGTTTCAATCAGTAGATTCAATCAGTGCATATAAAGTCATAGGTTCCTTAGCAGAACTGTTTCCTATTTTTCACTTTGATCTCTTTCCTCCAGTCCCATAATGAAGGCAATGGAAGGGAATGCTTGAGTGATCCACTTTGGACCGTTCTTTCCTCTTACCATTGCTTTCCACTCTCCTCCAGGAAAAAGAACCAGGCTGGCCATCCAGTATAATTGTCCTCAATATCTTGCACCTTGCAGAACCAAGTAAGTATTGTACTTCAAGGATCAATAGAAGATTTACAACAACTAAATGCTGGCTGACAGATATGTTCATCTCCAAGATACAGCAAGAATTGAGTCAATCAAACGCAGCTTTGCCCAGGAATGGATGAATGTTGGGTTACTTGAACCAAAGCCATTTGCAAAGATAACTGCATGAGTAATCCATGAATTAATCTGTTTCTTCTGCAGTTTGTTTCCAATACAAATGCAGGGGGTATATTAAGCAGCAGGTTCAAGATTGTTGCAGTCTGAATAATTATAAACTTCAGGAGCAGAAGCTTCACTCAGCACCTCTTTGATGTGGGTTTTGTTGCTGAATAAGATTTTGGAAGGAATAGAGCTCTGTTATTCAGGCAGTAGTTAACATTTTTCCCCAATCATAAGTTGTAACTTTTACCTGATAGTGGTATTGAGTTACTTATCTAGCACACTTTGAAAACAAAATTCAAATTGTTGGGTCTCTGGAACAAGTATTCCTATTTTTTAAAATATTTAGAAATACAAATATTCTGTCAAACATTTATGATATAGTTACCATTACCAAGTCTTGGTGGGATGAAACTCATGCCTGGAATGTACTTTTGGAAGGATATAAACTGTTCAAAAGAGGAGGTGGAGTTGTAGTATATGTTAAGAAATCACTATCTCTATAGAAATGCACAAAAACAAGAATGAAAACTTTCTAGAATGTGTATGTATCAATATAAAAGGAAAAAACATTGCCATGGGTATATCCAACAGCCACCCAACCAAGCAGAAGAAAAAGATGAAATTTTGCTAACCAGTTAACAAATGTAGGTAGGAAACAGACCACAGTAGTAATGCGGGACTTTTAACTACCCTGACATCAACTCGGAGACAAACTCTGCATCAAGTGAGAGATTGAACAGGTTCCTGACCAATCTAGCTGACAAGTTTGTCATCCAAAAGATAGAGGAGGGAACTAGAGAGACAGCTATACTGAATCTAATTCTTACTAACAGAAGAAATGATAGAGAGGGTTGAAGTTGTCAGAACTTTTGGGGAGAGTGACTATGTCATATTGGAATTCAATATAATGCAAACAGAAACAATAGAACATAAAGCAGGTCTTAGATCAGCGCCCCCAACCTTTTCCAGTTTGGTGGTCTGGCCTGGTGTAGGGGAAAGGGGATGGTTCTATGTGAATGGCAGTTGCATGTGTGGTCCTGCGCACAGCTCCATTTGTGTGAGCGGCGGACACACATGTCTGCCACTCATATGAGTGGAGCTTCATGAGCAAGGTGCTGCGGCTTACACAAGTGGAGCTTCACACGTGAGGGAAAGTGCCTGCTGCTCATGTAAGTAAAGCTTTGTGCTTGAGCTTGCCCACCCCTTGTGCAGCCTGATTCCGAACAGGCCATGGCCCGGTAATGGGTCACGGCCCAGGGTTCGGGACCCCTCTCTTAGACTTTGAAAGAGCTGGTTTTAATAAACTTAGAGAGAGCTTGGAAAGGATTCCAATCATGAAAATCTTAAAGAGGAAATCAACTTAGGAACTTGGGAAACTCTGAAGATTATGATTATAAAAGCCCAGTCCAGCTCAATATCACTGAGGAAAAAAAAACAATGAATCCAACAAGAAAACAGCATGGTTACACAAAACAATCTCTGATAAACTGGGAAAAAAAGGATAAGTACAAAAAATATAAACATAAAAGACATACTACGAATACAAATAAACATAATCAAGAAAATGGTAATAGAACACTGTCGACTCTAGTTCAAATCACCGGAACCTGATGGATTACATCCCAGAGTTCTGAAGGAGCTGGCAGATGTAATCTTGGAACCATTGAACCATATCTTTCAAAGATCCTGGAGTACTGGGGAGCTACCAGAGGACTCCAAAAAAGCTGATGTAGTTCCCATCTTCAAAAAGAAAAAAAAACGATCCAAAAACAAATCCAGGAAACTACAAACCAGTCAGGATGACATACAGTAAATACCTGAGAAGATCTTGGAAAAGATAATTAAGCAACAGATCTGCAAACAAAGTTATAACTAGAAGCCAACGTGGGTTTATCAAAAACAGAACATGTCAAACAAATCCTATTTCATTCTTTGACAAAGTTTGAATTAGTGGACCAGTAAAATGCAGTGGACATAGTATACTTGGATTTCAGTAAGGCACTTGCCAAAATAGATAGTATGGACAGCCTCACCACCAGGTGGATGTATAACTGGCTGAAAAACCACACTAAACATGTAGTTCTTAATGGAATTACATCTACATGGAAGGAAGGAAGCAATAGTGTACCTCAAGGTTCTGTTTTACGCTCGATACTCTTCAACATCTTCATAAACAATTTAGATGAGGGAATAGAAGAGGGAACTCATCAAATTTGCAGATGAGACTAAACTAGCAGGAATAGCCAACATCGTAGAAGATAAGCTTAAAATCCAGATGGAAATCAACACTTGGCCCTATCTAGCAAAATGAAATTCAATGTAAAGAAAAGTAAAGTTTTACACTTAGACAAGAAAAATCAATATTAAGGTACAGATTAGGTGAAACCTGACTTAATAGCACTAACTGTGTGGGATCTTGGAGTCCTAGTGGATAATCACTTAAATATGAATCAGCAGTGTGCAGCAGCAGCCAAAAAAGCCAACACAGTGCTAGGCTGCATTAACAGATAGAATCAAGATCATATGAAGTATTACCACCACTTTATAAAGCCTTATTAAAATCACACTTGGAATACTGCATCCACTTTTGGTTACCATATTATAGAAAAGAGGTTGAGTCTTTGGAAAGTGTGCAAAAAAGGAAGCTGGAGGCTAAAACATGAATAATGGTTGCAAGAATCTACTTTAAGAAATCAGTGAATAAAATTAAAATACAAAGAAGATTAGGGGGCTGGAAGCTAAAACACATGAAGAACAGTTGAAAGAATTGGGTATGTCTAATCTAGTGAAAAGAAGGACTAGGGGTGACATGATAGTAGTGTTCCAATATTTGACGGGCTGCTACAAATAAGAGGGGGGTCAACCTATTTTCCAAAGCACCAGAAGACAAGAAACAATGGCTGGAAATCAATCAAGGAGAGAAGCAATCTAGAACTAAGGAGAAATTTTGTAACAGTGAGGACAATTAACCAGTGGAACAACCTGCCTTCAGAGGTTGTGCATGCTCCATCACTGGAGGCTTTTAAGAAGAGACTGGACAGCCATTTGTCTGAAATGGTATAGGGACTTCAGCTTGAATAGAGGGTTAGACTAGAAGATCTCCAAGATCCCTTCCAACTCTGTTATTCTGTTACGTAGCACTATTTTGCCCAAATATACATGATCAGATTTCACAAACGTTTAGTGTTTGTCATTTATGGGCCCCTTACATCATTGATATTTTCCCCCTAATTCCTCCCAGAGGTCTGATTCATAAATTGCCACCAGGAACTTCCACAGTGGGATTTGTTTGGGTGTCAAAAATAAATCAAGATGATGGTTGTAACCACAAAATGAAAGCCCTGTGCCAACAGATGTAAAGAGGGTGGGGCTTCAAAAACAAAGGTTGCTGGTAGAATTTATGCAAATATCAGGAACATAGTCCATGTATAGCTTGGATTTACCAGATCACTTCTATCAGTAGTGCATTTTGCTGCCAAACAGGAAAGGTTGGGGACCTCTGTTATTGAGGACATTCTCAATAATAGCTGCTTAGGATAACTATTGCAGTAGTGCACCACAGCATCTTAATCTGCTAGCTCGGTGATCTTGGTGCCTTAATGTGTCGATACAGAATTAATGTCATATCCATTTTCAGGGATGTTATTCATGTTTTCTTTGGATTGCATAGGAAAAAAATTCCCAAATCCTATACAGTAGTAACAAATTACACATACAGTTCCAATAATAATTGAATGGATATTGTGGACGGAAAGACAAGCGATTGATTTGATCAAATGTTAATCTTACTTACAAAAACCTGTTCAGCAATTATGGTCTGAATACTGTTGAATCCCCAAATATAACGCTTAGGTAAAGGATGTGGTGAAAAAAGGGCATATTATTAACTGTATCATTTATATTATCAATACATCTGTTTTTGAAGAGGTTTGGAGCTAATTAGAACTCATGAAAATGATTCACGCCAGTGTAATCTATGCAGAGTTTTGATTATTGTAATAATAATAACAATAAAGTTGGAAGGGACCTTGGAGATCATCTAGTCCAACCCCCTGCTCAGGCAGGAAACCCTGTACCATTTCAGACAAATGGCTGTCCAATCTCTTCTTAAAAACTTCCAGTGTTGGAGCATTCACAACTTCCGGAGGCAGGCTGTTCCACTGATTGTTCTAACTGTCAGGAAATTTCTCCTTAGTTCTAGGTTGCTTCTCTCTTTGATTTGTTTCCATCCATTGCTTCTTGTCCTGCCTTCAGGTGCTTTGGAGAATAGCTTGAGTTCCTCTTCTTTTTGGCAGCCCCTGACATATTGGAACATTGCTATCATGTCCTTCTCTTCATTAAACTAGACATACCCACAGTGGTGGGATTCAAATATGTGAACAACAGGTTCTCTCTGTGGATGCCACTTCCAGAAGTCCATCTTGGCCTGGGCAACAAAAAATTAGCTACCGGTTCTGCCAAAGTGGTGCGAACTGGCTAAATCCCACCACCTCATACCCGGTTCCAGCAACCGTTACTTATGTTTTAGCCTCCAGTCCCCTAATCATCTTTGTTGCTCTTCTCTGTACTCTTTCTAGAGTCTCAACACCTTTTTTACATTGTGGTGACCAAAACTGAATGCAGTATTCCAAGTGTGGCTTTACCAAGGCATTGTAAAGTGGTATTAATACTTCACGTGATCTTGATTCAATTCCTCTGTTAATGCGGTCCAGCACTGTGTTGGCTTTTTTGGCAGCTGCAGCACACTGCTGGCTCATATTTAAGTGATGGTCCACTAGGACTCTGAGATCCCTCTCACAGTTACTACTATTGAGCAAGAAACCACCTATACTATACCTGTGTATTTGGTTTTTCTTGTCTAAAAGTAGAACCTTACTATTTTCACTATTTAATTTCATTTTGTTAGATAGCGCCCTATGTTCAAGTCTGTCAAGATCCCTCTGTATCTTAAGCCTATCTTCTGGAGTGTTGGCTATTCTTACCAGCTTGGTGTCATCTGCAAATTTGATGAGTTCCCCATTTATCCCCTCATCCAAATCATTGATGAAGTTGTTGAAGAGCACTGGGCCCAGAACAGAGGCCTGGGGCACCCCACTAGCACTTCCCTCCATGTAAATGCAGTTCCATTGAGGATCACACACTGAGGACGGCTGGTCAGCCAGCTACGAATCCATCTGGTGGTGCTGCTGTCTAATCCACATTTTTCTATCTTATCAAGTAGTAGGTTGTGGTCTACTTTATCAAATGCCTTACTGAAGTCCAAGTAAATTATATCCACTAATTTTGTCACCTGGTCAAAGAATGCAATAAGAGTTGTCTGGCATGATCTGTTTTTGACAAACCCATGTTGGCTTTTGGTAATGACTTTGTTTGCCTGTAGGTGTTCGCTGATTCATTGCTTGATTATCTTTTCCAGAATCTTCCCAGATATTGAGGTCAGGCTGATAGGTCTATAGTTTCCTGGATC